CAAAGCCACAAGGGAGGGAGGGAAAAGCCTCTTTTGGTGCTTTATACTGTATGCAGGGTACCAGCCCTAGGCCAGATGCAGCACTCACTGAGGGCCGATTTATTAATCATGCACTTTTAGTGCCAGCAGTACACAATTCTAGATTGAGACACCTCTGAAAACATGAGGATTCAGCCACCTATAACCAACCACATGAGGGTCTGGGGGCAACACCTAGACACAAACCATGATCCCTCCACCCCACATTCACACACATCCCTTTATGCAAAAGGCACTTAGTCCATCTCCAAGAGTTGTCCAAGTTCTAACAGTTTCACAATTACAGAAAAGTCCAAGTCCTGTGTCCTCTAAGGTTTAAGGAAAACTTTAACTGTGAGCCCTTGTACAAATGAAAAGAAAGTTAAACACTTCCAACATTCAATGGTATGAGATAGGTAAGTCAAGGTGTGGTGAAGCACACCTGTAATCCCAGAGCTGGGGAGGCTGAAAACAGGAGGATCACTGAGTCCAAGCTATGTAGTGAGACCCTGTACCAAATACATAAGACAGATAACAGCATTTCAAAAGTTACAAATTGTGGGGTACAAAGGAATGGGACCAAAGCATGTCCAAAATCCAGCAGGGCAAACATTAAATCTCACAGTTCCACTTCCAGCATTGTAGGCAATCTGTAAACATCAAAGTACTTGTGTATCTGTGACCCTACAGCACTTCCAGCAGTAGTAATTCCCATGGCTTCTCAATGGGGCCATCTCTGCTCCCTCCTTGTAATTTTCAACAATCCACATTTCTGGCTTCTCCAAACTTCTGGGGTTTCCATTGCATCTTTGGCTTCACACATTGCTCTCTCAGGGGCATACTGCCTGGCCTCCCAGGCCTTCTTCTGAAATGTAGGTGGAAGTCTTCCAAGCCCAACTCCTGCATTCTGCATGCACCTAAAACTAGCACCATGTGGATGATGTCAAGGTCTGCCATGGCCCGAGCAGAAGCCAGGCTTTCTTCTCTCTTGGCCGTAGGGGTCAAGTGCCTATAAACCAAATCCTGAAGAACTTCTCTAGGCTACCACCATTTTTGGAACACAGTGTTCTGGGGCTCTCTTCTCAAAGTATTTCACTTTTGTAATTTTGAGGATGCACAGGGTGGTGCTCT